TCTGGGAGTTGAAGTCCACTCATCTTAAAGTGGCCAAGTTTGGACAACACTGATCTAGTGGGACTTAGGCAGTGCGCCTTCTCTGTAATGGCCCCTGCCCTTTGGAACATCCTTCTCCCAGAGACCCAGCAGGCTCCTACCCTCATAGCCCTAAAGATATGGCTTGCCCCACAAGCGCTAGGCTAGTGTGAGGCTGGAACCTAGTAATATTTTTTGTGAACATGCGGGAATGTGTTGTGTCTGGGGGTGCCAGGAGTTTCTGGGTTGGCTTTTATGCTTTTTGTTATTGCTTGTGAGTTGCCCAGGGTTATGTTGCATAAGATGGGCAGATATTCAAACCTTTTAAATAACTTATAAAGAAAATAAATAAATGATGAGGTTGTCTAGTGCAGTACTTCTCAATTTCTGGCTGAGGAATTCTGGGAGCTGAAGTCCACACATCTTCAAGTTGCCCAGGTTGAGAACTAGGCTAGTAGATAGAATTTATGCTTTAAAAGTAGGAGACCTAAGTCCAAAACTAGCAGAACTAACATGAGTTACTTGGCCATTGCCATGTAGCTAAATATTAGCATTTCCTAGGGAAGAAATTATGATTAAAAGAAGCTATAAGAATACATTAAGGCTAATAAATACCTTCTACTACATTTTACACACAATTATATAACTAAAGCTCTGCCATCCATCCCAAATTGGGACTTTCCAATATCTTGTCATTTGCCTGTCCTTGTAACAACTAACATGAACTTTGGTGAGAATATTAGTTACCAAAAAAGCCAAATATTTTACCACAGATTCCAGGAATTACTTGTTTTTAACTATGTAAAATTATGCATGTCCTCTGTTTTAGAATGAGAGTTCAATGTACGTAGAAAAGGAGGGCTTCAATTGCACAGTTGCATCTGCCATATGGAGTTTTTTGTGCTCTGCCATGTAGATGCTTCTGTTTCTAATGAAGATCCCTGGCTTCAAAATTGCCCTAGGATGGGTTTGTCTACCTATGAAACAATGGGGCATGAAAAAAAAATCCTTTTTATTTATCCAGGCATGAAGATGCTTTACAGCAAGAAAAGGCATGAAGAAAGTAGATGTTCTGATAGATCTATGAGTGATTAATGACTGGTCAGCAAGGAATGCCAACTTCTAATTGGCTAGTAGCAGTTAAAAAGTTCTCCCCATCCCTAAGTTAACTTTTAAGATTGAGAGAAAACCGAAAGCAATGTTGTATAAAAGGACTTGTAAGCATTAACTCAGCCAGTTTCTTAATACTCCAGCTGAGGGACCTTGGTTCTAAGAAGGAAAGAAGAAAAGATGTGATTCCCATGAGCAGAGATTTCTGTTTAAATTGATTGATTTAATTCTTGTCTTATTCTTTGTTCTTGACAATCTGTCAAATGTTTCTCTGAACATGGAAGGGAAAGAAAGAAAAAAGAAACAACACACACACCATATACATAAATGATTAGACATAATATAGGCCACACTCTGCTCATTTTGATTTTCAGTGTTCTTGGGGGGGGGGGGGGATAATGTAGACCTAAATATTTCTGCTCTTGTACTGCATGTGTACATTTTTGTCAGGTACCCAAAGTCATTGGGATTGGATAGTAGATAAATATGCAAGTAATAATTAAAATATTCTCATGGAGATTTAGGATGAGGACATTAAAAAGGGGTATGGATGAGGCATCCAAGGATCCTGCACCTGGAATTCCCATGAAAGATTCCCATGGAATCTCACTACAGGGTAGAAGTCATGCAGCTTGTATCATCTTTATTGAGGCAGCTTTCAAAAAAAGAAGATACATAAAAGTACTGGAATGCAGGGAAATTAAAACCCAGAAATTCCTGGCCATCCAGATATATCTATGTATTGCAAATCAAACAGCTTGCAGCTGAGACCGTTCTTTTAAAGGAAAGTATCTTTCACATCCAAAACAATGTTTATTTATATAAAATGTGAAACAGCTTACTAACAACAGAAGAGGTGATTTTCAAAAAATATTTTATATTACTTTGTATTATTTGCCTTGTAACATTACAGGGAACAGAAATCTTCAAACAAATATTTCTAAGAAATATGTAACTTTATTGTATGAATGGACAGAAACTAAATAAAATGCATCTCACTGAACATTCTTCAATCTGGTATTCTTCACGTTTATTGGGAGTGAAGCTCCCAGAATTCCTGGCCTGCCTTTTTCCATTCTGATGAGGAATTCTGGGAATTACAGTCACAACACATCTGGAAATGCCAGGTGAGGGGAAACTGCTTTAACTGAACAGAGCATATCTGCACACTCATCAGGAGATTTGCTAGTTTAATGAACGCAGGTTTCAAGACTGAACTTACATTGGAGTTAGGTCATTTTTACCTGCTTTCTGCATTCTAGTCAATTTTAGGTTCTTGTCACGTTTTACTTCTTCCAGAGTTCGCAGTCCCATTCTGTACCATTTGTCTGATGTCTTCAGTCCAACTCCAAAAACAGAAGTAAAGAGCTACGTAGAATAGAAATATATTCAATTTAATAGACTGTGGGGTGCTGGATCAGCGTGATGCACATTTTCATGTTTTCTCCTGAATTTTAACACAAATGCAAGAGCTATACCCACACTGTAATTACTGTATTCTGAATGGTTACTTCAGCTATGATTTGCTAAGATTGTATGAAATATGAAGCAAATACAGTATAGGTACTCCTCACTTAACAACGGTAATTGGGGCTGGAATTTCTGTCGCCAAGTGACACAGTCATAAAGCGTGATGTCACATGACCACACCACTTAACGATGGCAGTTCTGGCACTTCCAGTTGCCATCATTAAGTGAATCCTATGCTGTCATTAAATGCGATGTCACAGGATCGCCGTTTGCAACCTCCTGCTGGCTTCCCATTGACTTTGATTGTCAGAAGCCGGCAGTGAAGTGAAGGTCACAAATGGCAGTCATGTGACCATGGGATCCTGCAACGTAACTGCGAGCCAGTCGCCAAGCACCCATATCACAATCACATGATCATGGGGATGCTGTGATAGCTGCAACTACAAGGTTATAAGTACCATCCTTTCAGGGCCATCGTAAGTTCGAACAGTTGCTGAACAAGTGGTTGTTAAGTGAAGACTACCTGTACCTAAATACTGCTGCACATAGATTGCAGCAAACAGCAGTAAGCATTCCCACCCAATATTTGTTATAGATTGAAAAACAACTCAAAGATTACATTATTAATAAAAGGGGGGAAGAGAGTGAAAGGAAACAGGGGATCTCCTATGTCACTAGCCACATAAGAGAGGAGAGAGAATTATGGGTTTGTAAAACATGGAGACCTTTTCATTCAACAATGAATAACATCATTGTTATTATGAGCTCTTTCTACCCAGTGAAATACAACTAGCCACCATGGCAGGTCTTCCCTCTTTCTCTCCTACAATACATCACCCAAAAAGGAGGTTCTTAAACCTTTTCCCTTGTTCTTGGTTTTGGTAAAAATCATGCTCCAGGGGGCAGCTTCTCCCCAGGTCAAATAAAGTTTTGATGGTGCTTATTGAACTAGAGAGTGGTTGGTCCCAGAAAGCTATTGAGAAAACAAAGCAACCAGTTTCATACAAGCTGGTATCTCAGAAGATCAATGCATCTATTATGCATATGCCATCTAGTAAACCCTTTGTTTCTCAAAGTTTCATTGCAGGTCACTGAATTCATTGAATTTTAGAACCGGCTGGAGAGTTCTATCTAAACCTTCCTTTCTGGTGAATCTCCAGGCTTTGAATATGGTCATGCTAATTTATCTTGTATTTCTAAGAAGATTGCTTATTAAAGCAAGAATGATAAAGAAAGGAATGATTCTGGAATATGTATGACTTGTCATTTCAGGCATAGCAAACAAAATTACCTACTCTTTGTGAGAAGCATGCTGTTTGTGAGGAAGTGAATTATATTTTGTAATCTCATTTGTCAAATATTACTTAAATTCTTATCTGTTAATTCTCTAGTATTTTGTTAATAGGATCGTAAGAATTCACAGAATTATTAGCTCTTGCATAATGGTCTGAATAAGATTTTTAAAGCATGAGTTATCATTGGCAGAAAAGGAAACAGAATTAAACTTTTCCATCACTCAGGAATATTATCTTTTTAAAACACTCTCAGTGAAGTTAGATTTCTTGATGGCCATCTTCCTATAGTAAATCACTTTATGTGCAGTTAAACTTCAACCTAAACAAATTTACTTGGAAATCAGGCTTAAATGAGCCAACTAAATGGACTTGAAATTAAGGCTAAATCCCAATGATTTATATGCTACTCTTGGCACAATTAGTAACAGATAAATGAAATGGTTAATTAATTAATTACTGCACTCGTATCTTGTCTCATTCAATAGAAGCTGGGCAGTTGAAAAATTATTCATTAAATGTGTTAACTGCTGTTCATTAAGAACAAAGAAAAGCATGGGATGCAACAGCAGTAATTCAACAAGTAAATTTTCAGGGCAAACTCTGAAAACTTCAGGGCTTCCAAGACTGGGTGTCAGCTATGTCTGACCACCTGGATCAAAGCTTCTCCAATTTCCAGATGCTCAAATCCATGACATGGACAAATACTTATTATTAGTTTTATATCCTATCTTTCCTCTGGAAGCTAAAATTTACCTATGTAGGATCTCCTCTCACTTTATCATCACAATAACCCAGTTAGTCTGAGAAGTAACGAGACATCCAAAATCACCCAATGAACCTCACAATGTATGGGGCTGAATTTGAATGCCTGATCTCCATTCAATGTCATAACAATTTCATTACACCCACTTTTCACCACACCTAACACTAGAAGAGCAAAATGTCAAAGTCAATTGCCATTAACGAATGCCACTTCTGTAGGATATCCAACAGAATTTTAAGATGGCCAATTTCCATTACACCATATTGGATAATGTGTTGAGATGACAGCTTCCAGAATTCAAAACCATTTAGGAGTTAGGAGTTTTACTACCAATTTACTTGAAGGGCACCAGATTTGGGAAGAAGATTGCATAAACAGCTTTCTTAACTACTGTATTTCCTTCTCAACCAAACCAGGGTTAGATTTCCCTTCTCCTTGTAATCTGGTCTCTAGGCTCAGTGGAAGGAATGTAGAGAAAACTTATCAGATACACCCCTTGGCAACTGTCAGAAAGAAAACAAGAAACCAACTTACTTTAACTGATCTGTAGTTTTCATTGTCTAGCACAGCTTTCACTTTAGAACTCTCCCCTTCTTCTATTATATCCTGAATACATAGAAGAGACATATTTGTGCAGGTTTTTACAGATTTCTATGGTATTTATGTTGCAATCTAATTACTTCTAATAGCCTCTCGATGCTTAAGCAGTCCTGTTTTAAAATTCAGGCTGAATTTTTACACATACTTAGCAAGTTGTTTGTGTTAGAAGACAAGCATGCTAGGCATTTTTTAAAATGCTGCTGAGTTTTTACTGTTGCACAATAAACTGGAAGGAGAATCTGAACAGCGATTCTATGCAGCGCTAATTATAGTGCTCCTCCCCTCCTTAAAATCCATCCGCATTGCAAAGAGGAAAATATGTCTGTTGCTAAAAAAGATCAGGGGAAGGGGCTGCTTTACAAACAACCTTAATTTTAATGCTTTAGAACAAAAGTGATTCCTAGAGACTCTCAACAAAAATTAAAACAATGAAATGGTCTTGTTTCAAAAAAATAATGGGAGGAATTCCTAATATTTGGCGGGAGGGATGTTATTGCCTTGAGAGCAAGGTTCTCCCCTTGTGCTAAGTGAGAGCTAAGCTGTAGCATGTTATATATTTTCTTTCTTATTCCAAAGTATATGTTAGAGATCAGATCTAGTTCAGAACCCTAGCATTACATTTGCATAGGGTGTATTTTATTGTTCCCTCCACACCCATCCATATAGTTGTGAACACAATGAATGTTGGGAGGAGAGAGACCAACATGGAACCAAGGAAATCATTTGTGTGAGTCTCTGGGTGGGTATACTTTAAAAGGCACTATGTTATATCTCACGTAACATACCTCAATAATTCCTTTGACTTGTTTTCCCATCCAGGGCACTCCCTCGATATCATGTACTTGAACTATAGTGAATGGAAGACACTTCAGCACAGAAGCTGCTCTTCTAAATGCAGTGCAAAACCCTTTATTTTCATTGAATTCATAGTTTTCAGCCAGGATTTCAAAAGCATCCTTGATGCAATGAAGATAGGAAACAGGGGAAAATTAGTAACCATTTGATGCACCAAGAATGTTTGAAACTTGTAAGCGGATGAATAAATGCCTTTATATCATGATAAATATAAAATACAGCTGCTAACCTGCTGTAACATTTTGCTCACAGGTATCCTTACTAAAATATCCTGTAATGAACCATTACCTGTTGTTTTAGCTTTCATTATAAAGAGAAGGCTGACATAGAATCTGGGTAAATCTTCAGAGCCTAAAAACGTAAAAGAATTCCTCCCTTGTTGAAGACTCTGCCCCAATCCTCTTTTTCGAATATATCTTTTCCTGGAAAATGTGTTACTTTGAAGCAATCAAAGATAATAGTTTACAGCAGGTTCAGATTCCAAAAGGTGAAGGAAACCTGGCTGAAATAAAAAAGAGTTGGTGCAGAGGTATCCATGGATGGGTCGAAATCTGCAAGATAGTGGGTGAGGCATTGCAGTCCAAGCCCCGCCCCTTTTGAATATGCATGCAATATAAACGCATGTACCAAAGGGGCGGGGCTTGGGTCGTGATGCCAAATCTGCCATCTTGCAGATTTTGATATACTCCCTTGTGAACACCACTGCTGGGTGCCAATGTCAGGAAGAAGATGGAGATGCCAGAAGCAATGAATATCCCTGAAGACATCTCCACACTCATATAGCTTTTGCCACTTGAACATTTCAAAGGCCACCATTTGTTCCGGATTTGCTGGATCTGTTTTCCTCTTCACTGGGAATCTTGTCAGATTTTACTAATAACTTCTGATAAACCTAATAGCAGGAGGTGGCTTGGACTTATAGAACTGAACTGGAACATTCCACTTGAATAAGTGGAAGTGGCTATATGAGGTGATGCAGAATAATTGCGAAACTGAATCAATAGGCTTTGTGAGCACTTCAGGGGTTCGTAGCACTGTAGAAAGGCAGATTGTGTTGTCATGTCTCTGCAAAAGGCAGAAGGGAAGGGAACTATCTTAAAGGCGCAGCAAACAGATCATCCACCTGTAGCTTCAAGTGATCTCCCCCCAACCACAGCAGTATCGAGACATCAGCAATAGCATCATTTTCTGTCCCTACTTTCTCAACTTCCCCAGGCTGCCACAGTACCCAGTAAGAGGAATTGCATCTCTGCCTCCTTCCTGACTTATCTGATGGAAATTAATTCTGCCCCTCTTCTCCAATACGTAAAGACAAAAAATCTCAACGTTATTTGTCTGACATCTGATCAAATATTTCCCCAGTCCAGGGGCAACTGTTTCTGCAATTTTTGTCACTTTTCATAGAATCATAAAGGAGTCCAGCTCCAGAACTGTGCGTGTATTTCTCTAAAAGTAAGTAAGTGTCTTTCATTTTTTTCATGTTCCTTGAGCTACGTCCTGTTCCGCTGAAAAATACAGATATAACAATTGATTTTTTAATCCTAGTCAAAGTGAGTCAAATTGGGGCCCATGCAAAATGGTCAGTTCATGCCCTTAACAAGGATTTTAAAAAGTAAGCTTGTTAGTATTTTTAGACAAATATATCAAATTCAGACTTGATAATATAGAAAATTCTGGAATCCCTGTGTATGCTGAAATCCTCAGGTTTTAGAAACTTAGAACACAGTGCATGCTCTAAACATATATATATATACATATACACATAAATACACATCACATATTTTGCTACTGAAACATTGCTTGGAAAAATTGTGTATACTAGGAAAAGCGCGCGTGTGTGTGTGTGTGTGTGTGTATATATATATGTATATATATGTATACATGCATACATACACGAATGTGGAATTGTCTGCCAAAGTCATTAACAGCAGAACTGAACATAGAATGTCTGAAATTAGAGATTTGCTAAACATGACACTGACAGAATCACAGATACTTCACAGGATCTAAATTGTTTGTTTTTTCACAGTTAAAGTAGGAAAACTCAGAATAGATTCCCTGAACAAGAGGAACCCTAACAGCCATTGTTCCCATTGACAACATAATGTGCTGCCTCAGTCCA